TATGTGTTTATCAACTGCATGTAGGGCCAATGTATGGGGAAAACAAAGGGTTTGGGATCCATCCACTACAGGTGTTGGGCAACCAACATCACCAATATGTTCGCCCAGATTCTCAGATCTTGGTTGATCGTGGTGGGGATCTATGGGAATCTGACTGAGGGAAGAGGGTGGAAGAGGTGATCTACACAGAAGTCACCATCACAACATGTCGCCATGTATACTGTAAGTGCCAAAGCGGTGCTCTTCCAGCACTTTGGGGACTACCAAGCAATTGTACAGCACATGCATCTAATAATTCTAATAAGAGCTAAGTCAGCTAATGGTTGCTTATGGTGGCTTCCACACCCTTGAGTCAAATCCGTCGGGTTTTTACATGCTTGAGAGGTCATTGTCAATAGATCAAGAGTCACCAATATTTGTGGCAGATGACGGGCTCTACTTTGTATCAGCAGCTCTCCGTTGTGTGAGAGAAATCCAAGAAATCATTCCCATGAAATGCTGCTGGATTGTTGGATCCTTGCGTTCAGAGGTGAAGCAGCTCACCCAGCATGTCACCGCCTGAGTACGAACGCGATGGTGGGCGACTGCGGAGGTGGGCACTGGCTTGTGGGCACTGACACCTTTTAACTTTTGTCCAGTGAATTCCCATTCCCCCAGTTGTATGGATTCTATCCCGGCCATTATGTTTATATGGATTTAATTCAATCAATTCAATCTACATGAGAGGTTGCGCCAGGGCTTTTGGCTTTGTCACCGCAAGTTTGTGACCTTTTTATGTGCTTTGTTTCACAAAATCCCTTCTGAAAGGCATCGTTCTGGCTGTGCAAAAGGAACCTTTCCTTCGCTGAGGTATTGCAAACGTACCACGGAGATCCAGCACCTTAGCTTGTTCGACCTTAGACCGGCCTTTGTTCGACCTGGCGAGGTCGGTGCTCCCTTGGTTCAGATTGAGGCCCAGGATGGCCCAGGTGTTCTCATATTTTCTCCATACTTCCTGCAGGCATATGAACATCCATCAATTGAGAGGCTGAAGATGCGGAAGCTCACGGATGGGTGCCCAACTCTATTGCGCGATGTTCCAGAAGTTTGGTGCATAGATCGGCCTCTTTGGCATTTTGCCGAAGAGACCTGACGTCAGAGGTCGGTAGGAGGCCCAAAAGAATAAGGCCAATGATAGGCCACTGAACCACTGCATGATGAATAGTGCTGGAAGAACCCTCTTGGATAAGATAAGAATTCGATATAAGTGAGATTCGGGTGCCACATGCTTGCTGCAGGACAGCCGCCCTGTTGATGTGATTAATCTTGACATATGGTCGGAACTGTGACGGCCCAAATCCAGTCAAACAGAGATCAAGAAAGAAACACCACAGCATCGCTATTAGTAGTAAGGACGCTACTAGTAGCTCCTGGCCTTACTACTAGTAACAAGAAGCTACTGACTAGTAGCAAGGACGCAACAAGAAACTAATTGTTCCCCTGGGGGTTGAGGAGAGTGTACCTGACGACCCCCAAGGCTCGAGTGTCCCTGACGGGGCAATCCGCCGGGGGTGCCGGTGCGTGGCGCTTTGCCGTCGACTTTGGACAGCTTTGGTCCTCGGTGACCTGTCGCCACTGTCGGTTTGGGGGAGCTGAGCGTTGGGAGATATTTTGGAAGGTGGTCCGGTGGTAGACGGCTTTTGAGGCGGTTTGGGTTTGGTGACCCGTTGGATGATTTTGATGGTGGGTTTGGGTGGGGTGCTGGTGCGTTTCTTTGGGCCGGGTGGCTTTGTAGTCGGGACATGTCGGGAAGGACTCTCCTCGTTCCGCGCCACCCAACAAAATTCCATGCAGTTGAGCTGTTTGGACATGTTTGGACACTCTTGTCGTAAACGACCACATCGCCGAAACGGGAGCCTTGACGAGCCGACCATTCATGGGAGTGCTTGAAAAACTTTGGGGACATGTTGCGCTTGATCGGATGCCAACTGCAGTGGGAACGTGTGAGAACCATGTTTTTCTCAAACTACGGCAGCTATTTGCTGCGTTCGTAGCGATGCCGTTCGTCGCTCCCTTCGTCGCGATGCCCTCACCGGTTTCCCGTGAGGTCTCGGTGGTGTGTGCCCCTGCACCGCCGCAGCTCGCCCAAGAGCTGGAGGACCGGGACAAACCCGTGCACTTGGAAACCCTAACAGAAGAAAGGGTAGAAGGTAGCCTGTCAGAGCTTTGGTTTCTAGCTATAGCGATACATGGTTATTATATGATATTGTCGATATTGTTTTCTTTTTAGTTGGGGGGCACTATTGCCGTTTTGGCATGGTTTCATCACGTTCTTCTCTTCCTCCCGGCCTCGACTGGGAGCGAGCGATGCAGGGCCTGCCCATTTGGGTGATTGGTGATGCAGGCCGCCCAGAGAATCGGCGATGAGGGTCCCTTTCTGCACCCTTCGCTTCATTCCTCTCTCCCTTTGTTTCTGGGGCACCATGAATCGAACCCAGACTCGACAAATGGGACTGGCATATTCATAATATAGGCAAATAATGGCAAATGTAAATATTCTATACATGGAGTGTCTGGGGAAGTATAGCTGGTGCTTTCCCCAGAAAATGCAGCAGCAGTCCGAACAGAAACATCACATAACATCACGATCGGAGGCCCTGATCTTCACCGTCACTATCGTCTGGAATCCTGTGTGCAGGGGACATGGCCCAAAGCACAAGACAAGATAGTTCAAAATCACAACCTTGAGAGGGAAAGTGTGCAAATGAATTCAAGCTGGAGGGTGGGACTTTGTCATTCAACTCGAGAACCCACTCTGAAGACTCTGGAATTCAACTCGAAGCTACATAACTATTGCAAAGTTCGATCTGGATTGCTGGGAGTTGATTGACTTGATTGACCAAGTCACCGCAAGTGACACCGATTGGGATTGATGTGTTTTTACCTTCCAGATAACAAGTTCAAACTTCAAACTGTTTCGATACTCTCCTTAAATACCGTTGCAGGTTGCCTCCCCGTCCCCCAAGTGTGACATTTTGAACGAGTTGCAACGACAACACTTTCTGCCTTTTTCAAGTGGTAATCGAAAGGTATGGAGTGCCGCCGGTGCCGCACATGTTTGGAGTACCAGTATCGGTCAACACGACAATGACAACGTTTATATAATGAGTGTTTGGTACCTTCTTTGGACTTTTGGCACCTGCCATTTTAGGAGAGCAAAACCCCCTTCGTTCTGAGCTCCCACTTGAGGAGACACGTCAGACATGCCTCGTGTCTCACACTTGCGCCAGGTGACGGCGAACGAGGCAACGACGCCCTGGTCGAGGCGCTGAAGCGACGCCACACTGGCCTCGTCCGCTACACGCGCTACACGAGCCTCGGCACCGCGCTCCGCGCGCTTTGAGCAGATCGCCGGGAGCGGCATCGCCGTCAGCGCCGTGGGACCATGCGACACTGGGTGGTGATCGAGTGGGAAGGCCGAGATCAGGCACCGAGCCTAAGTCAGGCACTGTTGTGCATTGGGATGAAGGGCAAGGACACAAACTCCGAGCGAAAGCTGAAGGCTGTCACCCATGATCTCGAAGCTGTTGCTGTCAGTCACTCCCAAGTTTCCAAGTCCCTATTCCCACTGGCCTGCTGACCATGGAAAACGGCTTTGACCTTTCGTTAGAATTTCTTTCACCCCAGGAAAGCTCCACCACCACCAGATCCCAAGTACAACTTCATGCTGGGCCATGGCAGTCGGGATCCCCAGTGGGTGAGGTGCCCGGCAGTGACCGTGCGGTTCGGTCGTTTCACTGCCGATGGCGCTTGGCGGTTCAGTCTGCGACATTGGCGACATGCAGGATTAACCCCCATCCTCGGGTCTATTCAGGCCAACGCCCCCTATCTACCATCCAGTCTTGGGACGGACTCAGGACTCAGCTCAAATTTGGATGACCCCAAACAGGACGCCACATGGTGCCGTGGTGGAAGCCGCATGACCCGAGTCTCCGGCGCAGGTTATGATCTGATCTATCGCGATCCTCGGCTGTGGCAGTGGGCCTTGGATCAACAACGGCCCAGTGCTGTCGATGCGTGGAAAGACCGGTAGGGTCAGCGAAGAAGACCTGTGGTCATTTAGGCTCCTTGCGCCAACAATAGTACCAACAATCCATGGATGGAATATGTTATATAAATAACTTAGTAGCCCTATGTATTTTAAACACGATCACAGACGTAAAACTACTCATCCACAGGGCAAATCGTCCAGTCCCATGGATTGCTTTGGGTAACAGTCCCACCGCTCATTGGGGCCAGCTCTCCTCGAGTGCGGTCACGCTGCCGGGCCGGTGAAGTCCCAGATGGCCACAAGAGCCGATGTGAGCTTGCCAACATGGAGTCAAAGATTCTGGGATGGCTAGCGGCTAGAGTGATCTGCAGAGAGAGAAAGAGAAAGAAAGAGAGAGAGAGAGAGATGATGCGAATTGCTGACAGGTAGGTTAGACTCTGTTAGTTTTGGGTTGGACCAGTGGATCTCCTTGTAAACATCCAGCAGTTGTTGATTGCTTTCTCTTTTGGGGGGGACAGGCATGGAGATTGCCAAAGCCATGGCTCTAAACGCCAAAGGGAAAGGGAATTGATTGCCTCTAGACTCTAGACCTTCTCTATGGTTGAAACCTATAGGCCTGAACATAGACCTGCATGGAGTGTTCGCATGGACCTGCATTTGTTCTATGGGAACAGACCCGTACAGAGGCCGATGTCACTAGCTTGATGCAGTCAGTGTGTGTGTGTGTAGGGTATGTCTCATGCTCAGTAACCGTCGGTAGAAGATGAACACTATTATTGAGAAAGGCCTTTACTAACCATATTATACATATCATATAACATCATATAATCCATTGTTTGTTACTGGTAATGGGGTATTCAATATGTCTATATTTTTGTTATATAAATATATATATATATATGTGTGTGTGTATGGTGTGTGTGTGGCGTGTGTGCTTCTTTGAGTGGTTCAGGCTTTGTGACTTCAGGAGATGGCTAAAACGGTTTGCTTTGTAGGAGGAACCCTTCCAGCCCATTCGGTGCCCAAGTCGCTCAAGTATGTCAATTCGTTAATTTTGCAACTAGAGGTGAGAATACTTAACTGTACAATTTAGAGAGTGTCCTGCACTTGCAAATAGGATTATACAGTCCATACAGTAGGCCATACATAATCCCATTGAACATACATTTTAGGTTAGATGATTTGTAGGGTTGGATTCCTGGTTGCTTCATGTTGCTTCTCAACGACTCGCTGTGCTCAGGAGCCCAGCTGTTTGGAGGCGCTGCTGCAGCGCGGCTTGGCGCCCGGGGGCCCGGTCGCTGCTCGTTTGAGCTCTTCAGTTGAGGGAGTGTCACGCCTGTCACGTCTTGCAGTCTGAAAGGACCTCCTTGAAAGTGAGACATCTGAGATCCTCCTTCGGAGTGTCCATGAGATGATTTGTTCAGGTGATTTGCAGGTGGCACAATTGAGAATTTTAAAGAGGGTCTCCCGAGTGAGGCGATACACCAGGTGGAGCATTTGCTAGACATGAGGAATGGTTCAACTGACTGCGGGAGCATCGCCTAGGGCCTAAGATACAAAAAAAATCATTCAAGCACTGGACTTTGTATGGAGCATAGATGATGATAATTCCTGGAAACTGTCGCGTGGGTCATGTTCCACCATCAGCTCAGACTACAACCATCATTCTGGAGCAGATCAAAAATGCACCAAGCAAAAAAACATGACTGTTCTTTTCCTAATTTGTATCTTCCATCTACTCCAGGATGACTACACACATATACTATCATTTACTGTAATCAATATATTTAATTACAATGTGTATAAAATATATGTACAGATAGATCAATATTATAAGTACCAAACAGATCCCCAAACGATCCCGAAAACCCCCCAGTTTGGGACACCTTTGGGCCCTCCACCGAGTTTGCTGGAGCTGGGTCGCCCTTCGGCGGCGGACCACGTGCTGCGGGAGCGGACGACCGGCGACCGGCGTCATTCCGTCCGTGACCGGCGGTGACCAGTGACCGGAGGTCGGAGGTTGACCGGTATCGGGGGAGACCCGTCTTGGCCATCAGGTTGTTTCGTTTTTTGTTGGGAGTTTCAGGGAGTTTCCGGTGAGTGGATGTTGGTGGAGTAACGAGTTTCCTTCTGTTTCCTGTTTTGACCGTTTGGGACTAAAAGTTGACGTTTCGGTTTTTGGATCGGGGGTGACGTTGGGCACAATCGCCGAGTTTCATGAGAGGGTTGGATCATGGATCACCTAGAGAACAATAGTGCAAGACTATGATGTTGAGATGCTGCCTGAGATTGACCGCTGTTTCAATCAGTCGCTGACATTTGCTGACCGCCTCAGCTACGTCACAGCCTCAGGAGGGGCTTCAAGCGGACGGCAGCGCAGTCCTCGCACGCTCCGCTCCTGAAAGTCAGGAGGCAGCGGATCGAGGGATGCAGAAGAGCCTCTCAGTTCTCCAGGAGTACTAATTAGACAAGTATTAATTACCAACTGCTTCCAACGGGTCACCAAATGTCAACCCCACTGCTTATAGAGTTCTTGGCAACTCCAAGCATTTTGTCCTCGGCCGTTGGAAGGTCTTGGATCAGTTGGAGACCTATTTGAAAGATGAAGCCTTACTGCAGCAGGCGAGAGGAGACCATCCAGAGTCCAAGGTTGCGGATGTTGGTTTTGTTCAACTGATGTAATTTTGGATCCCCATCAAGTCCTTACTATCACTTCTGTGCAAAGGACAAATCCTACTGTACTAGGTGGTTTGCATAAAGCTTCCAATCTCAAGACTGTTTGCTTTGCGCCATCAGCCCTCAAACCGCTGTAGAAAGGCAATGAACATCAATGAACCCTGTGTTTCTTGTGTGTTTGTTCCCCCACGAACGACACCACCACTACCGGCCGGAATTTGGGGCCCTAACTTCTTGGGTGGGATGGTGCAGGGGGTCGGGACCGCGAGCGTTCCCACTGTTAACTAATTAGGACTTCTTGTGCTAAATCACGGGCAGAGCTTTTCCTTTTTGGGGGGGCGAGGATTCCCGGATTCCTCCAAATTGAAGGGCCGTTCAGGCCGTTCAGGCCGTTACCGTGTCTTTTGTTTGGGCAACCCCAGGTTCCATCACGGCCCAAAAGCAGCATTTTGCCGTCAGTGGAACCCTTCGGTGATGCACACCTGGCAGAAGCTCCAAGGAAAACAAATTAGATTCCATGGCATTCCCCCATGACATGGTCATGCAGGGTGAGAGTAGATATGGGGAGAACAAGTTGCTGAACAGCACATTTCTCCTGAGTAGATGTAAGACATGGTAAGACCTGGCACAAGGCGATGGGAAGAAGTACTGCCAGGTGCAGAAGCTCAGGGAGACTGGGAATGAGCATGTGCGACAAGGTGGGTCTTGTTGTCTTGACCAGTGACACCGTCGACTGGGATGGCTTGCACAAGCACCAGCAGTTTTGTGGAACAAGTGCAGTTGAGATGCAGAGGAATGTTCTTGAAAGTTAGGGAGTAAAACAAACAGAGCTGCGGAAGATGGTAGAAGGAACGGCTAGCACCCAGTGTTGGGGGATGCTAGCTGCGGCCGGCTGCGAGGCCTGAACAGATTTATCTAACGGATCCAGGTTGTGGATCTCTCGATGATCTCAGGCATCCTGAGGATCCTGGAGAGCCATGGGTTCTTTGAGAAACCGCAGGCCGTATGTAGTGGCAGTCTTGATGATCCGAAACCAATCCACATGAGGGTGGGGTGGGCAGGTAAAAGCACGCTTTCCGAAAGCATCGTTGCACGCCCGCTCGCTTGAGGTCGTTATGCTGACGCCTCGTGGTGTTACGAAGACTGCCTGCAGGCCAACAGGAATGACATTTATATATATATATATACACCAGGAGAGCAAGCAGGGTTGACTTTGAGCCTCAGTTTGCTTTGTCCCACTGAAGATGAACAACTTCTGTGTCACCACCTGGGATGCGTATGAATTAGGAGGGATGGCCGATTTGTGAGATACATGTTGTCCTTTTTCTATTCTATTCCAAGATCCGAAAGACACGTCTCTTCGGTGCCGATGATCGCCAGGTCCTATGGGGCCAGGACCCCCAGCGTCGGCGGAGGACCGCAGGTTGACGAGGACGTCAGCAGAACGGCAGGTGGATGGACTGTGCGAACTCCGACGAAATCACCGAGGCTGAAAGTTTGCGCTCTGAGGTGCGTACCAAAACATGCAGGACTTACGGTCGAGGTGGTTCATGGACCCCCCCCTCAACATCTCTAAGTCTTAGTCTTAGGCCTTAATTAGGCCTTTTCTGGTGCTTTCAACAGCCACCCTGGTCGACGGCTTTCGACTGCTTTCGAGAAGCAAAATCCTATGCCTCCACTGAGCGATGCGTGTAAGCTGCTGAAGAACTTAAGAACACGTCCGAGACTGAGTAATTAGTGATAATTTTGTAAATTATGTATATAAATAGTTATATTATTATATGGAATCATTGGAGTATATTTGAGTACTTCTTTTGGAATTCGACCAAGACTGACCTGTGGATGGATGGAGGGAGGGAGGGAGGAATGGAATGGAATGGAGTGGAATGGAATGGAATGGAACGGAATGGAATGGAATGGAAGGATGGATGGACGGACGGACGGACGGATGGATGGATGGATCAAACATGATCAAACCATATCCAAATCCAATCTTCAGTGCAAGTTCATGAAAGGACCTGGCCAATTTTGTTGTGTCCGACCGTGGCCCCCCAGAAGTGGCAATCAACCATGACTTTGAGCCGCTGCAGTCCTCCAGCACCAAGGTAAGGATTTGATCTTCCCCTCTGAAGTGAAGGAGCGCGCGCAGCGCGCAGGCGGGAAGTTGGGGAAAAGTGCCAAGAGTGGATTCCCTCAATAAATGCCTCAGGGACGGGTGGTGGGAGAGTTGGATTCAGATGATTGAATTGCGTGGCTGGAGGGGAAGGAGCTATGACTGACTGGGGAGATGTGGAAAAGAAGTTAGGGGTGCAATCAGGGCGGCCTTCTTGCGAAGAAACAACTGCAACGTGGGTTCAGTGAGAAGGCGTCTCAACAAGTGAAAGCTACAGACTCACATCTCCTCATCGCTCCCAGGAAGACTGAGGTGGACCGGTTTAGGGTCCAGAAATCATGACCGGGTCATGTCCGGGAGATGAAGAGACGAGTTCCTTGAAGGTGTTGGGTGGCAGATGGTGGCCGTTGGTAGGCACCTTGGATTGACTCCGTTGAAAAACAAACACAAGCACTGCAAGCTTTTTTTTTGGACTTTGGTTCGGGGGTTATTTCAAGCAATCAGTACAATCAGTCATGAACCCATTTGGAACCCACCTATGCAAAATGCCACAATAAATTCATCATACAGCTCTTCACACCCTAAACATCATTCTGGCAACATCAAGAAATGAACGCTCATCTTTGGACCTAAGAACCCTTCACCTTCACCGATGTTCTCCTTCACTTCTCCATGCAACCCCGGTGACGCACCATTTCCCCGCCGCTCCGAGTTACCGGGCTTTGGCGTCAGATCCGCGCGGCGGAGACGGCGGTGCTCACCAACCTGCCGGGGGCTTCGGCACAGCGAAGGGAACCAATATGGAACAAGAAGCTACGTTCGGGGCTCCTGGCCTTACTAGGAACAAGACGCTTCTTGTTCCTAGTAGCTTCTTGTTCCTAGCCTTGGAGTGGGGAGGTGGTGGGCCATGGAGCCATGGGTGTGTGATCGGCACACAAAGAAGCCCCCCTGACCCATCCCCAAGAGGTAGACTGGTCGATGGTCCTTCTTCCAGTCGGGGGATTTAATGGGGCTTCTCCCTAATTCTTATACACACACATGAGGTGATGAGCAGAAAAAATAACTCACTAGTCAAAAAATAGTCTGAAAGAGACTCACCAGTCAAAGTGAAACTGAAAGGCGAGGTTTATTGTTTTTTTTGATGCTCCAACTATATAACGAGGATCATTGGACAATGAAAGGACAATTTGTATGATTTGGGCTTTCTTATCAGACTTAGAGAAGGGTATACTGAATGACGGTAAACCGGTTTTCAAGTGGGTGTGGTCGCTCAGTCACTCGGTGTTTTCCACCTATCAGGTAGGGTGCCCTGGGTGGCCTGTGGTTGCCAACGTTTGGCACCTGCTTTTGAGTCCTGAGGTCTTTGTGCTGCCTCCAGGCGAGCGGAACACAGTTTGTTCGGCCGGGTTTTGTCTTGGGGCTTTCAAGCAAGTGCATGTCGGAACGAACCGGGGGGCAATGGCAACTTCGCACGGTGGAGTCCGTTTGAAACTACTCATACCTACCCAGACCATCCATGGGACTGGAATAGTTACATATAAATGTAGGTAGCTCTTCCAGACATGGATTGCTTGGGATAGGACATTGCACATTTCTATACCCAAGAATGTTCCATGTTTCATGCCACTAGGTCACTAGGCTTTGGAGAAAAAAGCGGCTGATACACTGCAAGCAAAACACCTTGTTGAGCTGGATGGGCAAAACACGCTGACTCACGAACTATATGATCCATATATGGAAACTATTGGAAACGAATTACTTTCCTTTACGAACTGAGGGTTCTCCACTTCCATGTGACGTGTTCGGAGTGTACTCCACCCAGGGTGAAGTGGACTGGGCACCCAGTCCCGAACGAGCCATGCAGCCCGGTGGCCCGGAATCTGCAGCGGAGATCGAGCGAGTGGACATGTGCGACGCGATCTCCCCAGTCGCACATGGCTTACTGATATATGTTCATGTTATTTCAAGTTACGTGTGCTGATATATATATATATATCTGGAGATATATATATATAGATACTCCCCCCAAAATAGCAACTCCCTTGATGAGGAAGCACCGTTTGCCCGGGGCAGATTTTTTGTTATGATTTTTTTTGCAGTTCCTGGACGGGGACCATTTGAAAAGCCAGGGGTTCGGGGCATCATCGTTTTTGAGAGGGATTCTTTTTGTTGTCCCCTCACTGGGTAGCAGTACTGGATCATTGCCAATCGCCAACGCTGAGCATATTCAGCAGTAGGGCCCAGTAGGGTGGCGTGCCAGTTTGGAAGTGTTTAGGGTGGGTGTTGAAGACTCAGACGGTTGCCTCAATGCAGAGCCGGTACCAATGAGCAAACTCTCGAGTCCCAAGAGGTGACAGATCTTGGTCTGTGAGGCTTTGTGAGATTGCTCTCACCTACGATCCAGACCATGTGAAGGCGGGCCGAGTACAGCCGCCGTTGGGCGCAGACATGCGCAGACCGTCCGGCCGTTGGGTGTGGTATGTTTTTCATGTGGTCAAGGACCCTCGGCTCGCTGTTTCTGGTGGACTGCACCAAGATGTTTGTTTTCTTCCAGGAAGGTGCACGGGACTGAGTGTAGCAGCAAGGACGCAGGCTGCAAAAAAGATACCGCACGTTCATGAGAACATCGGCAAGCATGCGCTCGCAGACTCGTCAGGATGCCTTTTGGAACTGTTGAACGCTGTACACGGTAACAAGTTTTTCTTTTTTAATGATACGGCGACCACCGAGATCTACACATGCGGCAAACGGATGCAAGCTAACCTATCCAAACTCCTCCTTAGCAGGCGGTTGGGTAGCATAGAAGACGGGGGAGCTTTAAGCGGGTTCAAGGCCATGCGGCGCATGGCGCATGCCTTCATGGCGTTGCAACGCTACGAGGCACTGGGTGAAGTGAATGGGGATGATCGCAGTGGATGTGACAGCATTAGCAAGCTTTGTGGCTACATACCTCTCAAAGAGTGATGCAGAGTGATGCACCACATTAGATCGGCAAGGTGTTCACCGGTCATTCAGTGGGCACCGTCCTGTTTATCATGCGGAGTGGTTTTTCCATCCCTACCCCCCTTGAGCTACTTCCGGGGGGGGGACCTCAAAAAGGTAAGTTACATTTTAGGGTACCCCCCTAGAGGGTCAAAAAATGTAAGTTACCCCCCCCCCCAGGCACCATCGAAACTAGTCAAGGGGGGGCAAAAAAAATGTAACTTGTTGCCTGGGACGTGCTTACTTACATTTTTCCACCCCCCCCTGGGGGGGGTCGGCAGATCGATGGGGGGGGGGGTCTGGAAAATGTAACTTGGGACCTGGGAGGCCTGAACTTACATTTTTTTTACCCCCCCCCTAGGATGCGTTGGCAGATCGAAGATACGCCAATCACTAAGAAATTATTTGCGGGTGGGAGTCACTTAATGAAATATTTTCTAAATAAGTAATTAACTAAAAGTACTATTTGGCAACTGTTTGCTGATGCCTCAACACCAAGGAAAACATAGCCTCCAAAAATGCCGGACCAGGACACAGGCAAAAGGTGATTTGCAGACGTCAAAAATTGTAACTTACAATTAGTCCACGCATCCAAACCCTCAGATTTTACAGGGAATACAATACATGGGTTCTGTGAGAAAGTTTGACCTCACAAATTGTAACTTACATTTTGGCCACATGCCCAACTCCCCAGAATTTACAAGGAACTGGGGTGTCCCCCTGAGGTACTTACATTTTAGCATACTGAAAAGCACACACGTCCGACCACACGAACCGCAAGCAGGGGGCAAGAAACCAGGGGATCAAACGGCGTTGAATATCCTTGTTCTCCTGCCCAATAGAACAGGCAGCCTCTCCTTTATTGTTCTCCATTATTGTTTATTGTGTATGGAGTGTGATCGTTTGTTATGTTTGGGTTTCGCTTTGTTGCCTTCCTTTGGGGTCTTCAGTGGGAACATGTATGTTCCTGTTTCTTGGCAGTTTGCTTTGGGTGTGCTTCCTGTTCTTCTTTGTTGATGATGACTCAGACCCACTGCTGGTCCCTCATCTGCTTTGTTTTTGTGTGGCTTGTTGCTGCAGAAGGAGTTGTGTATGGAGTTGTGTATGGAAGACCCCCCCCGGCCAAAAAGAATTGGAACAAAACAACATATACATTTTATATATTTGTTTTTTCAGTTCAAACATGCTAATGATGCAGCCGGCCGCGGGCAGCATCATTCAACTTGATGGCTGACGGCTGACATGTTTCGGCAGGCATTTCCTTGAAATGCCGCATTTGACCATGCGGGACGTGGTCGTGAGCAGAAATTAGTGTGGGGATGGGGGGAATCTAAAATTGTAAGCGCTCCTCTGTGCCTCAAAAATGTAACTTACATTTTTGAGGTCATTCCCCAGGAAATCGCCCATGAGGCCTCAAAAATGTAAGTTACCTTTTTTGAGGCCACCTCAAAGTTAATGTAATTACATGTTTTGAGGCCCTGCGCGCAGGAAAATGTAACTTACAATTTTCGCCCCCCCCCCTCAGGATAGGGATGTTCTTCCCAATTTGATATGCGCTATATATTTGGATAGCAAGCTCTGCATATCCTGCAAAATCCTGCAAAGTGGATGGCAGCTGGGTCGCCAGACCGACCAAGAAAGAAACGTACCCTTGCCAGTTGTGGTACGTAGGATGTGGCATAGAAAGTCATACCGGCAAATATTTTCCCTTTTAGGAAGAGGGACCTCAAGAAAATGTAACTGAAAAGGAGTAGGGATCACAAAACATATCAAAACACAAAACATTCCTACAACTACACCTCTTACGACAACTGCAGACTGATGTGTCAGAATGTGTCAGGCCCAAACGGACAAGGCCTTGATGCCCCCCAAGATGTCTCAAGTTACACAACTGGGTTTTTTTGCGTGTTTTCTGACTGTGTCCTTTTAGGACGCTGAAGCTGTGCTCACCTCTGCGGCACGGAAGCGGCCGCAGGATGCTTCACTGCGGCAGGCAAGTGGGATGAGTGGGATGAGCGAGCTGGAGGGGGAGCTATACCAAAACTATCCCAATTCTTGGGCGGGTTAAAGAGAGTGGGATAATACATTGACAAAGATTATGGAAATCAATCAATATGTTTTCGGCAATTTTTTGCCCAAGGTGTGAGTGTGGTACAGGTGGTGGACGTGTCACACACACACACACTATGCCCCTCCAACACCCCCAGCTGCGGCCCTTGACGAGGATCTCAAGCGCGCCCAGCATCGAGCGGATGAAGTGCGGCGGAAAGCGCGAGACTGGGAGCGGGAGGCCCGATCTGTCTTGAAGCCGCGTGATTCACGTGTGTTTGAACTGACATGAGCCAAAAAAAACACGGACGGGTAATTAGTAGAGTAGTAGCATGGTGAAATCCTTCATGCAGAATTCGCTGCACCGCCACAACTCATGCTGAATGTGTCATTTAGTTCGGCAGGCTGAACGACATCCACAACGACGACCCAGCGACACACACAAACATATATATATAGATATATATATATATATCAGATAATTACATATTATATATATTATATGTATATGTACACATGATACAGAACAATGTATGCAAATGTTTGTTCAGACCTCATATCGTACAAGGGATCCTTTAAATGGATGTAAACTGTGTGATGGGGAACCTTTCCACAAGGCAGAGGGTCGGCGGATTTCAGTTGTTCATTTCTTGTGTGTGGACAATTTAATTTGTACAGATCCAGGACGACATCAGCACAGCTGGGGTGACCACTGGTCCGGTGTCCGTAGTCCAAAAGGAACGCAAATAATACTTACAGTCTTACAGGCCCAAAGGCAAAGGAAAGAGTTTTAGTCGTCTTTGCCAGATTGCAGAGACAGGGTGCAGCAAATGAGACTGACGTATATGATGAGACCGAAAGCGGTTCTGACTTAGGTGCAACAGACAAGCTCAACCACTTTAGACTTAAGCGCCGAGACATACTGACATACTGTAATTCAATATGAAGACCACCGCTAATAGGAATTGTTATGTTTAGATGTTGGGATCAGGGCTTACGTACTGTACCGTTTTTTTCGCTTCACATGGTCAAGTTCGAGACCATTCCAACGATGCATTGACGCATCGGTGATGGATGTGGGAAGATGATGATGCTGGAAGCAAGTCATTCTGGATGGTGAGCCGCTTGTTGAAGCAAGACATGTCAAAGGAAATTGGTGCGCAACTCTCCACAAAGATTACCAAACGAGATCCTAATCCTTCAGCCAAATTCCTGCTTTTGGGGGCCTGTGGCAGGGCTGTAGCCTTCTACCACATCCTTGCGCGATCACGTAGGGTGGACCGGGTTCGAAGCGTGAGGCCTTCCGCGACCTCTTCGAACGGCTGCCGGGCTTCGCGACGCCCGAGGTTCGGGCGGCAAAATATCGGGATGTCCAATGACCGTTTTTGATTTTTCTTCAGATACCTAAGCCTCAGCAAAAAGACCTTATTTGTCTACTATTATTTCTTTGCTGCAATGTGGACGCTTGATGAACAATTCACCTCCATCTAGATGGTAGAACTTGTTCTACCCCTCTCGCTCGGATGTCCGCCTGAACGAAGCCCGGTGTTGAGGCGTGACACCACGAAAGCCACTGTAGACTCTCAGGTCTATCAGCAGCACAAAGATCTATGTGAGAAAAAGGGGGCACAATGAATATGAAATTGGACATTCCCAGGTGGATAGAAGCGTAGAACACCCACCCACGAGAAGGCCAGCAAAATCAGAAAGTTCATCAAGTGTAAAACGCGGAATGGCTCCAACAATAGCTGCCTGTGGCAACGCACGCCCTTTTAAGGCGGTCTTGGTCGGTGTGACCAGGGTTGAAGTCGCTGTGATTTCGGATTTTGTTGACAAAGGCAAGGCCCTCCCCAGCCAAAAAGTGAGGTCTCTGAAAGTCTTATCACTAGCAGCACAAGCGCGCAAGTGAAAGCCTCTCTTCCAAAAAAAAGCAAAATTCAACAAATGAAGTACAAGCGTCATCGTAAACACGCCATTGGTCGGGAAGTCAAAAAACGATGATAGATCCTGAGGATCTAACTTTGCAAGGCAACCTTGCGGCGCCTCAATGCGAAGTTGCGAGGTCCAACTGACATTTCCTGGTTTTGGAACCCAATCCCAGCGAGGAAAACGTGTTTGATAATCAACATCTTGAGAAGAAGATGCCGGATTCTCACGACCAGCCTTCAACCTCCTGTTGAAAATCTGCTCCTATCACACGGTTCCACCTGGCCAAAAAGATTTGTCTTTCAAAAACTCGGTTCTGAAAAATATCGCATAAGCACCTGGATGTACTGGAGCGAACTTTGCTGCAGACTTGGCAATTGAGTCGGCCACACGATTCATAATGGACTGACGTGTTGTGTGGTGACGGGCTGCAAGTTCTTCTGTAATTGTATGATCAAGGCACCCATCAGCCCATCAGCGACGTTCATATGGGGGGCGTCTACATGAGTGACGCAATGTTGACCGTTGCTCATCGCATCGGTTCGTTGCAGAGACCGAAGTGAGGCGTGCAACGGTGAGGACCAAGAGGATCGGTGGCCGGAGACGCAGTTCCCTACGCCGTCGCTCAGCTCAACGAGTGGCCGACCTGTTTTTTCTATAGGTGCATCCCTACTAGTAATAAGGGCATTACTACTAGTAACAGCTACTAGCTACTAGTAGCATCTAGTAGCGATGTTTTAAAGGGGTGTGTGTGTGTGTACTAAGGAGACAGGTGAGGCAGTAGGAAACAAAGGGATGGATCCAGTCCGATACGCAATTGCACATGACTGCTGTAGCGGTAAATTGCTCAGATCCGGGAACCTTAATTTAATTGCATGTTAGTTGTGAAAAGCGCGAAATGCCTGGGAGGATGCCTCTCGTTTCAATAAATCCTTCGGCTCCGCCTGTGAGCCCCAAGAGATGCTCGTGGCCTTTCCCCCGGAGGTCGCCCAGGTGACCTTCCCAGGGTGGCCGGAGCACCTCCACCGAGGCAGAAATGCCTGGGAACGCAGGAGGCGCACCGTTCTTCACTCTGGGTGGACATGCAAGCGAAGAACTACCGAAAGGAAGTGAAGCGAAGCGTTTGATGGTTCAAGGACTCCAAGAGGCTTGAACCTGGGCCGCTGCTGAGCCCCAGGTTCAGTTCCTGATACTAAGTTCGGCAACCGATCGCAGGAAGACCAGGGAATGACCATGAATTACCCAACGAACCCCTTGCCTCAACCTCCTTCCAGGTGCAAGACTACGTGACACACTTGTCGGAAAGTCTTCAGCAGGCTTGGAAATGACACTTCATGGGCCATAGCGGCAAGCTTTTGCTTTCCGGTGAACGTGAGAGGAAGGCTTTATCAGGAAGAGATGGAAGAGATGCGGTTTCAAGAGTCATCACCATGTGTAAAGTGTAAAGTCAGCACGGGACGCTCACTGTTACAGACTGGACTGGACCTAGTTGGTAGAGGAGGGTCACAACCCCCTGGTGGCAAAGGTTTGGCCTAGGCCAGTGCTGACTGGGCCAGTGACAACCGGCCCAGCGCCGACTGGGCCAGCTTTTTTGTTGGCCTTTTGATGGCCTTTTTGTCATGAGGAGACTGCGTTGAGTCACTAAATATATATATATATATATTCCAGCCGCCCCCAAACCAGTTCACAACAAGAAACCGAAATGGAAGCACGGATTCTGATGGACACAAATCCTGGAGGTTAGAACAGTGGAGGGATTTTCACATCGTAACTCTATGGTGTCCGAGTTTCCCCAACGTAAGTAGTAAGATGTAGCATATAAGTATTTACATGTATTTACCCATTTTGTCCGGAGACCTGCTCCTGGTCTCCCGCCTTCCAGGAAGGTGAGGCCGCGTATATGATGGAGTTGCCCGTGGCCTCAGAGCGGTCCATTGGACCCGGCACCGTCCTCCGATCAAAAGAAAAAGACTTTCTGAGTCAAAAGCCGGGTGTTGAGTCCGAATCTTGAGCCTTGGATCATTCATGAAAACATGTGATTTGTTCTAGTATGATTATATAGTTATAATGTGTATATATATATATTATACATGTCCGTTTGTCTATAATATGTGCATTTTTTTTCGGGTGTTTTCGGTGAGGTTGGCAGAGGTCTCCAAGTCTTGGAGATGAAAAGGGTCAACCGCATCCATTGCCGATGCGTCTGGGCTGGCCGAGTGACCATCCAGTCCTATCAATATTGACACTCACAAATGACCCGAACTCGTCCAAGCACTAGTTCAGATCCACCTGGGCCCTTTTTCAGCCGCCCATGTCAAAGGCCAACGGCTCAACCGGCCGTTGGAGGCCGTTCCAGGCCTTGCCAACCTTCCTTCCCTCCAGGCTGTATACGATCCGCCACGCGGTCGAGATGCAGTCGCTGGGTGGCATGTGTTGTCCATCGGCTCACGGGATGGGAGCCGAGAAAGCCACGCTTTCCCGCGGGTTTGGTGCGCCTGGGCGAACCTGCTTGAGAGTCCGAAAGATGGGGAAGCTCTGGACGTACCTGGGACGACCCCACCATGGGTTCAGGCCAGCTCCCTGGAATGCAAAGGGAGAAGCTGTTGGATAGACTGATGGTCGCTGGCCTTAGATCTTTCGGTTGTTCGTTCAGGGCATGGCAATCCGACCTAACACTACCTACATCATCCACTGCTACACGCTGGGCATAAGCAGACCCAACGGTCTTAAGCCGTTGGCAACCCCTACACCTCTGGTTGTGGCCGAGGTAAAGATAGATAATGAATGATAATTGTTTTTCCTCTCACAGCATTTGTTTGTCAGGCCATTGTCTAGATGACTCACAAATGGCCTGACAAAATCAGGATGAACTGATTGTCTATGGTGAAGTGTTCAATATGATGAACACTTCGAATTGAAGTTCCTGTCATGCTAAGCCGTGCCTACCGATGTTTGCCACTACGCTCTCGAGGTGGGGCTCAGGCTCTGGCAAACAGCTACCGCGGATTGTTCCTTTGGTGCAGGTGGGGCGGAGGGGTTTGGGCAGCTTCCGGCCAAGATCAGAGTGAGGTCGTGGGTGTTTTTTTTGTTAACTTGTTGCTTCTTGTTTCTTTCAAGCTGAGATGAAGCAAAAAGAAGCAGATTTTGCTGGAATTGAAGCGGCCTCGGCTAGACAACATGGAAACTTAGGTCGAATACCCGGGGTTCAGTGTAAGCTGATCCACGAACCTTTCTTTTCAAATCTTCCTCTCTACGTGATACATCAAACATCTATATAAATCTTTGGCCGATTTCAGGTGTCAGTAGTGTAGGCTCTTGATTTATCAACCCTCCCATTTGGATTGAAACGACCTCTTCATATGAAAGGGTGGGGCTTATTAGAATCAAGGAATCTACGTTGATGGTGTGACACCACCATGAGAGCCAGTCCCAATCGGCTCGTGGACGGAGCTCGTTTGAGGCTCGGCTCGGACCCGGCGAGGCTTTAACACGGAGCATGGGTGTGGTGAAGACCCACGAGCCGGGCAAGGCGGGACGATCACCTGATCACCCAAGGCGAGCGGATCCTTTCTCCATGTGTTTTTTTTTCTCTCACTAGGAGCAAAGGGCATCGCTACTAGGAACAATGCTCGCTACTAGGGCTCCTGGCCTTACTACTAGGAGCAAGGACGCTACTGGGTGGGGACAGCCTTCTTTGGTGATGTTCTTTGGTGATTGTTTGTTAACGGTGTTTTTGTACAGAAAGGCTGGCTTGTTGCCAGCGCCGAAACTACTAATAATTTTGGCATATCATATCTATCAATATGCTTGGCTGTTTCGCGCTGTCAACAATTCCTTTTTGCCTACTACAATGGTTCTGGGTTCTTCAGTCATCATTCTTTCCCTATAATTCATGGTGTGTTATAACCAAAAAACAAAAAACAATGTTTTCCAGACTAGTCTGAACATAGCTAGATCTAAGTAGTCCCCCACACATTGGTTTTTTTTTGGTTCCTATGATGTAGGATTAATCCAGATTAATCATGAGTGATGTGTGTTGCACAAGCTTTCTTTGTTTGTCTGCAGGTATTGGCTAAGATAATATTAGACTTCAATTGCATCCAGCAATGGCTTCCATCCTCACCAAAGCGAGCCAAACCGCATCAACAATGAAATGCGTCTCTCTGGAAAATGTGAAGGCCATTGAAACAGAACCAGAACACACCTTCGACGCCATCCCCATGAAGCCGCTGGAAGGCACCAAAGTGAAAACAGCCATTGAGGTGATCAAATATGTTCCAGAACATGGCTTAGATGTGGGTATCCTAGTGACACTCATCAACGAGAAGAAGTTCAACCAACTTCCTGGCCCTCTCGCTTTGCAAGCTGACATCCCTATCCCCTTCGCAATGCAAATGGTCTTTCGCAAGCTCAGTGTCAAGGAATACCAGGTTCTTCGACACTTCACCTTTGATCAGAAGTTGGACGTCCGCCTTTTGAAGTCTGCTGTCTCTGGTGACTTGTACATCTTGGACTACGGCAAGAACTTTCGTAATGGACAAGCTGGGTGTCAACTTCTTCTTGAGAAAGTGGGTCACTGGGCAATTTTGAGTTCGTCTCCAAGAAGATCGTGAAGGCCAAGGAGAAATCTGCTCTAGAACTTGGCTTTGACTACATCAAAACCAACGGGCCAAGAAGCAACATGGGAAATCGTCAGACTGAGTGGGCCGAAATTGAAACTCATCGTGAAGGTAGCCCCATCTTTGGCTGGACTGCAGGACTTGTCAAGGAGAGTCTTCGGGGCTATGCAAATTCCAACATCTTTGTCGAGCCCACGCACAACTACTTTCCCACCATGCACGACCTTAGCAACTTGTTTCTGGAAGAAGTCCTGTGCCCTCTTCTACCAGATATGAAAACCAAGACTTTGGTCATGTTGGGCAATGCTGGGGCTGGCAAAACACCAGCTGCTCAAGCCATTGCCATGGCCTTTTCCGAGTATTGGATTTTGCGAGCTGGTCATGAACATGAACTCCGTCCAAGCTTTCGTCTTTCCAATAGCCTCGAGAACTTGCGGGGTGAGCCCGGACTACGGGAAAGGCCAGACATTCTAGATGACTCTGATATGAGCAACATCCCGCTTCCCAAGGTCAAAGCCTTTTTGGATAGCTCCTTGGCTGAAACCTTCACCGTGGAGAGGTGGACCGCCACAAAATTTGTTCTCAATCAACTTCGAGTCATCTGCGACAATCGCGTTCATGCTGAAGCTGAAGAAGGTCTCAAGATTGGCCAAACTGAGATTCCTTTCCATGTCTTCATGGACTACATCAAGACAGCTTTCCACGAAAAGGCGCAAAGGGAGGACATTCAAGCTTGTCTCAAAAGGTCCCATTTCATCCTCAACATGAACGAAGCCATCTACGTCCGCCCAGCTGGCGCTGGGGAGTTGCCAGTCCGCATTGTCCGCTACCCTGAGACTGACAACCGTGAAGTCATCAAGGATTTCATTGCTCCTGAGGGAAAACCAATCATTGCTCAGATGATGGAAGGCAACCCTACTCCTCCGTCCAATTGGCTGCAAAAACGGCAATGGTGTCATGATCTCCTGACCTACATGATCGAAACCAACAACCTGGAGATTCCACCTGCCCGTACCATTCGTGGACGATCTCTCTTTGGTGGAACCCCTTCCATTCAAGAAGTCAAGCCTCGTCTGCCATCTTCCGGTCGCACCTGCGTTGAGATTGTGGCGCTGAGAGCACACTCGCTGCATCACCTGAACATGCTTTCGATCGTCCTGGTGTACCTTTTCTACAAGTGAAGCAAGAGCCATCCTCTCCAGACCGTGCTCGCTTTCCTGCTTTGAAAAGAATGCGCACCAGTGAGGTGATTTCCTTGGACACGCCTTCCCCTGCCAAGCGCTGCTGTGCTTCATCCAGGTTTGCTGAGGATGATGACGATGGCTTTCCTCAACCTGGAGATCTGATGATGCTTTCGATGAAGGCATGGAGCATGAGTGAGTGAGCTACTTCGGCAAGTGAGGGCCGCGCGGTAGAATTTTAAATCTTGGCTCCTGGCATCTGTATACAAGAATAAAAAAGGTTTTGCCGAATGCTCTTGTCAACTCATTGGTGATGTACTATCCCACATTTAATGCAGGCAAGCGTCTCCCGGAACTGTCAAACAGTATTTGCAACGCGCAATTTTATAGTACCCTGTTGGCTCTCTAGTTTGTCGCTCCTTCAAGTAAAGCAACTGTAGCCTGTAGCCTGATGACAAAAGCCATGCGTGCTTCTCCAGTCATGAAGAAGGACATCTACAAGACTATGAAGAAGATCCCCGTCCACAAGTCTTCTCTCAAGAAATGTCCTTGTTGCCAAAACAACTTGTCCCGCAAGAAAGAGTACAGCGTCGTTCAAGCTCGCCTGTTCTCCAGTGAATCAATTACTACGATTGCTTCCCAAGGGCTGTACTGTGGCCGAAACCGGTGCAAACTCTACTTCAGGCACAACTTTGTCTGGTTGGGCGGGCAGAAGATCAATTGCATGAGCTTCAATGAGATGAAAAAAAACTGGGCTCTACTTTGTCACCTCCAAGACTGCCTTCACCATGAAGTACCTCGAGCTGTGTTATCTTCGCCTCTTACGCGCCAAGACAAGGTTTGGGCAGGAAGCGGCAGTTCGCCAAATCGAGATGACACTGACATGTTCTGGGGCCACTCCTCCTTCCGTGATCATCTGCTCCATGCACTCGAAGGTTACGCCCTGGCACGCCGTGACCCAACCAAGGTCATCGAGTTCAACGTCGACTTTCCAGCCAAACATGTCGTGAAGGTGTCCAACCCAATGCTCTTGTTTCCACCTTCTGTGCCTGTGAACTGTGTTGCTTTTGATGGTCACTTTGGCGTGCACAGGGCGTTACTTTCTCCTGTGGAACCTGGTCGGCAAGTCAAGCTCAAGGGTCGCCCTATGAAGCGTCTCTATGAGCATGACCGCTCATGCCACTGCAAGCAGAAAGATGCAGTCCGCCATGTCCTACCTGACCGCACCGCCGGATGGCAATTTGCCATTGACCCTGCAACTGGCCAAGTTCTGGGTGCGTACGAGCATGTGGTCAATGAGCGAAATGAAGACAAAGTTGCTCTACTCAAGAAAGTCTTGGCCATGCCTTTGGTATCTGCTGATCTTCTCCTACATGACGATGCTTGCCACTTTGAGGCCTATGTCCAGAAGCACGCTGGTGATGCTTTTGATGGTGTCAAGTACTACCTGGTTGATTGTTTCCATATGAGAAACCATACTTGTAGTAAGTCATCTTGGAGTAGGAAGGAAAAGCAGCGTGTACAGGCCGTACGTACGAATATGTGCGAATCGTTCAATGCTTGGCTGCGTCCCTTGAACTTTTTCCTCAACAGCCTCAGACCTCAGACTCATGAGTTTTGGGTGGAAGAAGCTATTCTCTTCCACAATGACCATGCTAAGGAATTGTCGCCTTTCATGCAGTCACGGTCGAATGCAAAATCTCGATCCAGGCGTTGAGTATAGGTCTGATCAGGTCTGCTAGGTGTACAGACAATTTTGATGACGTCGTCCCTCCACATCGAACAAACGTAGCTTTGGAAAAGTTTTCCTCTGCGTGTATTCTGCTCTGCTCTGCTCTCAGTCTCTGTCATGAAGTAGGAATAACAATAGGCCATACCATACTTAGAACATAGTCGTGTTTTCTCCACCCCATATTGATCATAGGACCATAGGATTAATCCAGATTAATCCATATGGTTCTAAAATATTCTAAATATCAGTGAAACATGTCTTTCATTCAAACATGGACCACATGGAAACTGTTGTCTGTGAGAAGCATCTGTGGATCCAAGTCAATATCCTGCACTCCTTTGCGCCATGGACCTCAAGGGCAAGGCAACGCTCCAGTCTGGCAACAAGGTGGTTCTGCAATTGGAACTGGCTTCTTCTTCTTCAGCGCCTCCCAGTTCTCCACCCCAACCAGAGCGTCTCTTGAGACAGATCGAGGATGGGGACGTGCTTGTGCATCCAACCAAAGCACAGATTTCGGCCCGGAGAACCCAAATGCAGATTTGTAATATTCAGAGAGGATGTCACCTTATCATCGGTGCTGCCGGACAATGGAATGCCGAAGCTCATGAGAAACTCCTTCAATGGCTCTTGAAGGCAGAACAGAAGCGCTCTCGGACCGAGACACCATCGCCGTCCTCTATTCCAGCCCTACAAGATGCGCCTGTGGCTCTGGCAATCATGGATGGCAAGATGGATGATGTGGATGCGCAGCCAGATCTTCAGCAAGCAGTTCGTGCACCTCGTGAGCAGCCCCCCCAACCTCAAGGAAGTCCAGGCCCCGAATGTCAAGGAAGTCGAGCCCCCGAATTTGGCGGAAGCCATCCACGAAGAGCCTCCGAACCTCAATGAAGAAGAGCAGATGACTCATCTCAGCACCACTCACCGAGGGCATCCGAGCCAGACTCATCCTCTTCCTCGTCTTCTACATCTTCGCCAATCCGCAAGCTCCGCGAATCGCAAGCCACCATCCGAGAAGTGCGTGAGGGAGCCAGTGGCAGTGATTTGTGCAGACTGCGCTAGGGCGGTGGATCATCTCCACGGTCTTTTGGCCAAAGCTTTGGAGTAGATAACTTGAACAATGACTTTATAGCGTCTTCTGGCATCACAACTTTGCAATAATATATCTGGAGTGTAGCAGCAAAGCTTTGCAGTCATATAAACAGCACGTGTCTGGATCTCGCATCAAGGATGATGCAGCAAACTTGGTGATAAAATCCGCTCTGTCCGGCGCTGGCAACAAGCCCCTCCCTTTTTGTATAGGTTGTTCTCGAAATACGGATGTGCGATGAATTTTCTGTTTGGGTTCGTTTGTGTTGTCACAATCAGTTAGTAATCAGTGTGAATCAATTTGGTTGATACACATGCACACATACATACATAAGCATATACACTACATTAAGTCCTACATTATATATTAATATATCTAACATATATTAATATTATTAATATATACGATGTATATATATATATAAATCGTTTGCAAATTATTCAATCATAGTATGACACATGTCAGCTGTGAAGAGTTGGTAAGAGTTCAGGCTGCGACCAGGTGAGCGTACCTTTGCTTGTGCAGCTCACATGTTTACCGCATGGCATCAACGAGAAGAGCAACAACAGCAGCCATGGCCATGGCAGCATCTTCAAACGCAAGGACAAAGGCGAAAAAGAAACATTGTTTAAAGGTCAAATCACTTGGTAAAAAACAAATAACAGTAGTTACTATGTTATTTTCATTACCTTGAAAGGTAGCAAAAGGTTGATGCCAATCCTTCCGAATCAGACCCGCAGATCCGCAGGGCCAGCGATGTTTGGCCTCCTACTTGGTGGGCTTGCAGCCGGAGCCGTGCTGCATGTGGGTGGGACTGTGACCATCGACACCCACCAAATTCACTCATTCACCAGAATTCCCATGTGTTCTTGGGGCACGAATTCATGTTGATAATTCCTCATACATGGACAGCTCAGAGATGCCTTCGCAAACGTTTAGGCTAGGCCCAAGAGGAGGTGTTTTCATTGAACAAGGTTTTCAGGATTTCATGTTTTTTTTAGCTGCTGAAGCTATGATTTGTTGGTGTCTCAAGGTCACACATGAATGATGGTGAATCGGGCTAGTGGCTAGAAGTACTGTATACATTAGCTGAATATAGGAAGAACTGATTCTCCGCGGGGGGCTACTAGGATTGAAATATTGATCCAGAGAATCATGTTTTGGAGAAGGCCATAACAAGAAAGAGTTGCTGCATTTGTCAGGTGATAAAGGTGTAACACTTATTGAAGAGACTCCTCCTCAGGCCTCCCGGTCAAAAATACTGCAAATTGCCTTGAACAGAACTCCTTTTCGTGGCTGTGACATCCAGTTTTGCCTGTTGATTATTGTGCATTTGTTTTGAGGTGAGTTCTTGACTTCCGACTGGAAAACTTGAAAGTTTGAACATCAACCGATTCCTGAAACCTCTCGCAAGTTGGCGAGTGTGCAAGCCACATGTTTTTCCATTTTGCATGAAGCATCACCCCGTGTGTGGCTGGGATGGTTTGCCTTAACGAGAACATGTTCCTGTGACCTGGAAAGGGGTTCATGTATATACGTATGTATTTAAAAACATTAATATATATATATATGGATTTAGAGTATGAACTACATATTTGTTAGCTAAACTGTTGCTTCTTCCTGGCCTAGCTGCAGCCTGCCAGGCTTCACACTAGAGACGGACTAGCCGAAGGGATCCGATGGACCGACACGTCCGGTCTCACCGGAGACCTGCGGCCGGGAGGAGAAACCCTTGCACGACAGTGCCGATGGGCCTCTGGTGGCTCGTCCGAAGATGCCGTGATGAGGACAGCTGCCACTGCCGACGTCGAGGACTTTTGTTGGACATGTTCAACTGCTAATGAAGAAACTGGACAAAAATCCATCAACTCCCTTGCCGGTGGGCAACTGAAAGCTGCGGTGGATTGGTGGAGAGGAGTTTAGCCACATCACTGGCTGCTTGGGGTGTTGCCCGTGTTTCTTTTTGATCTTTCAGATGCTCACCCGCCACAAGCGGGAACATATGAAACTTAGCTTGCAGGAAGAAATGCATCTTGCTCCACGGTTGCATCGATCACCTCAGCATGTCGGAATGGTTGTTCATTCATGTCAACGATGTGTATATATATATATATATACACGTGAAGCAGTCAAATTCCATGTACCTATGCGAGAGGTGGTTTGTGCCGAATCAAGGCCTGCGAATGTCCTCAAGTTGCACTGTTGCCATGGCACATTGAAGAAGCAGCAGTCCAACGGTGCTTATGCAAGACAGCCTTAAGCAACATGCTAAGCATGAACATTGTTTCGCCATCACTACAAGTGTTTCAAGTGTTTCGATTGTTGTCCACCACAATTGGCACCTCGGAAGGTACATAGTTGATACGTGCCCGAGAATGCGAGTGCCGCGGCTTGTGATGTGTCTAGGCCTGTAAATGTCCTCAAGTTGCCTTGTTGCCATGGCAGCTTGAAAATACAACAGGTCCAACACTGCTGTCGCAAGACAGCTGGAGGCAATAT